CTTCATTCCCAATGTTATTGCTCTTGTTTCGTCTTTAGACTTTTATTTGTTTGTTTGTTTGTTTGTTTCTCTCTTTCTTTCTTTCTTTCTTTACCATCGGAGCACGCCATTCCCATTCTTCTTCCCTCTTGTTTCGTTTCTTTCTTTCTTTCTTTCTTTCTTTCTTTCTTTCTTTCTTTGTGTTCCTTTCTTCCTTTCCTCCTAGCACTTCATTCTCATTCTTATTTTGTTTTGTTTGGTTCTTTGACCGTATTTCTTCATTTATTCTTTTTTTTTTTCATAAAGAAAAAAAATACTTATTCCGCTCTCGTTTCGTTCTTATACTTTCTTTCTTTCTTTCTTTCTTTCTTTCTTTCTTAGCACTTCTCTAATTTTTATAGTACCTCCTTATTTTTTAATCTTTATACGACTTGTCACTTTTTCTTAGCATCTCTTTCTTTTGGCACCTCTCTTTCTATTGTTTTATATGACTCTTTCTTTCTCCGTGTTTATTTCTTTATTTCCTTTTCATAACATCTAAATCTTTTATTTTCTCTTTCTTATTTTTATATGCATTTTCTTTCTTTCTTTTTCTGCGCATCTCTTTCTTTCTTTTTTTCTTTCTTATTAGCCCGCATTCTATTTTTCTTTATTTTCTCTTATCTTCTTTCTTTCTTCGCTAACTAAGTCATACCGGGCGACTGCACCATCAAGAGACACGTCCACATTGTTTGATGGACTTGAACAAACTTCCTACGTGTTTTTGTTTTTTTCAACCGTGTGTTTGGAGGGGAACGGAACAGAAACGTTCAAATCACTCGCCTGGAGCTCTCTAAAAATAAAGGAAACAAACAAACAAACAGACAAAAATGACAAGAAAAGTAAAAGAAAGGCTCCAGAAATGGTTGTATCCTAATCACCGGTGAACGCTAAATTAATTGCCCATTTGAACTTTATTCCACCAACGGACAGAACCACTGTGTTAATCAGTAATTATTGTTTCATTCGGTCTGTCAGTCGTCGAAGAGCATTGGGGGTGGTGGGATTGAAGTCGAGGGACATCGAATGGCTGTTAGCTGTGTGGTGTTTGTGGGTCGAGATCTTTCTTTCTTTCTTTTTTTGTTTCCCCAAGCTGTTCTTTTATTTTTCTTTCTTTTTCTTCTTTGACTTTTCTACTTTCTTTCCTTCGTTCTTTCTTGCTTTAACCTCCATTATTCTTTTTTTTTTTCATTTTTCTTTGTAATTTTATCTACCTCCTTTATTTTTCAATCCTATTTGAATCAATGTCTTCCTTTTGTAATTTCTTCTTTATTTCTTTTCTCAATAAATCATTCATTCCTTTTTTTTCTTTCTTTCTTGGTGCATAATTTATTTCTCTTATAGCTTCTTTTTTCCTTTTTCTCTCTGATTCTTTCTTTCTTTCTTTTTTATTCCTTCTTTTATAGTTTCAGGATTTGAGACAAAATTCTTTCTTTTCAATCTAAACTATTTTTTCTTATTTCTTTCTTTCTTTTTTTTCTTTCTTTCTTTCTTTCTTTCTTTCTTTCTTTCTTTCTTTCTTTCATTCGTGCATACATTGTTTCTTTTTTACTTTTAATATTCCAAACAAAATTTCTTACTTTCCTTCTCAGCGTATCATCTTACGTTTTTCTTTGCAATTATAATGTTCTTTCTTACTTTCTTTTTTCTTCAGCGAATTATTCATTCTAATCTGGTATGAGAAATTTGAAAAAAATGTCCTTCTTTTAAATTTATCTATTTTTTCTTTTTTCATTTATTTATTTATTTTTCCGTGCATCATTGTTTCTTTAAAGTTTCAAGTTTTTAAAAAAAATTCTTTCTTCTGAATTTCACTATTCTTTCTTTCTTTCTTTCTTTCTTTCTTTCCATTTATTGTGCTTTTCTTTTCTTTCTTTCTTTCTTTCCATTTATTTTCAGGATTTGAGACTTTTTTCCAATTTAAACATTCTTTTCTTTTTGTCTTTCTTTCTTCTTTTTGTCTTTTTTCTCGTTCATTTCCTTCTTTTGTTTTTTTTTTCATTCCTTCTTTTATAGTTTCAGGATTTGAGACAAAATTCTTTCTTTTCAATCTAAACTATTTTCCTTCTTTTCTTTTTTCTTTCTTTCTTTTATTTTTTCTTTCTTTCTTTCTCATTATCGTGCTTTCGCATTCTCGTTCATTTCTTTCTTCCCTTCTTTCTTTCTTTTTTATTCCTTCTTTTATAGTTTCGGGATTTGCAACAAAAATTTTCTTTCTTTTTCATTCTTTCTTTCTTTCTTTCTTTCTTTCTTTTTCTTAAATCTATCATTCATTTATTCTAATATCAGGATTAAACAATCTTTATTCTTTCTTTCATTCCGCCCTTCCTTTCTTTCCGTCTTATATATTTCTATCTATTTCTTCTCGATACGTCTTCCTTTTCTCCCTCTCTCCTCACCACTTACAGGCGATGTTGATCTGTGTCCGGAGGCGACTTTCTCCACCTGGACAGTTAAACTTCTCACTGGCCGCAGGGGTTGAGCACTTGATGTGTTAATCTCTTGCAGACAACAGTCCAACAACCGACCAACGCGAATGCTCCACGGACAGACTATAACCCTTCTCCTCGCTTATCCATCTCATCTCCTCAAAAAAAATTTGAAGATAATAAGCAGACACATTAACTAAAATCCCAAATAATAAATATATACCTCAAATAATCTTTTTCTCTGGATATTTTAAAAAGAAATTGAGAATGGGAAAAGTTTATTAAGGGACTTCTTAAGGAAGAGAGGAGAAAGAAAAGATCGACGGGAGAGAAATGGGGGTGGGGAGTAGAGAGTGGGCATGAGAAATAACGTATTTTCATGTAGATAGAAAGGGGTTGAAAATGTGTGTGTGAGAGAGAGAGTAAGAGAGAAGAGAGAGCGAGAGATTGAGAGAGATATGATTATATATATATATATATATATATATATATATATATATATGATATTAAATATTTGATAAGTAATTCATCGAGTCGAGAATTTATATAAGTAAGAATGTATATATATATATATATATATATATATATATATATATATATACACATATATGGGGAATTGGTATAAACCAATGGCTTCTGTTACCAATTAGATTAGATTAAAAGATATGTGTCAATATTGTGATTTTCTTTCTTCGTTTAATGATAATGTTATTAAACTTTATAAGAAGATATGAAAAAGAATTTACATAAAATAAACAGACAACACTTATCTATATTATTTAATGAAACGTGTATGAATATATATATATATATATATATATATATATATATATATATATATATATATATATATATATATATATATATATATATATATATATATATATATATATAATATCAATGATTGTTTTAATGACTTTAGAATGACGTAAGATCTTTTATTTTGGGTTTCAAAAATTTTTCATTCCTGACTATAGGACGTTCACATATATCACTTAAATTGGTTGTTGTTTTGTTTTTTTTTTATGGCACATCAACCTCGATGGGTCATTTAATGCCGACAACTTTTTTTTCCTGGTAATATTTTCTTTTGTTAAAAATCTATTTCTGGTAATTTTTTTTCCTCAAAAATGTATAGCTGACAATATTATTTTTAAAATGGTATTGCTGGTAATATTTTTCAAAAATATATTGCTGGTAATAGTTTTTTTCTTCAAAAATTTATTTCTGGTAATAATTTTTCAAAGTATTTCTAGTATTAAAACCTATTTTTACACTTTTATAATGCTTTTTACCTGGGTTTCGAGGTTAACTATTTGCCCATAGCTGGGACCCTAACAGGTGCTACTACCCCGGGTCAGGGGGAACTTGGGAACATTAGCAATTAAGAGGTGACGGTATGACTTAAGTACTTTTATTTTTGGTTCCAACATTTTTCTTAGTGACATTAGAACGTTTAAGAATGACTTAAGAACTTTAAATTTGGATTAAAAAATTTTATGACTTTAGAACTTTTCAAATATGACGTAAGAATTTTATTTTTAACTTCAACATTTTTATTAGTGACATTAGAACGTTTAAGTTATTTACCAATCCAAACCGAGCGTGTCGCCATATTTCTTACGAGAACCAAACGGTTACTGCATTTGCTTCCTTTTATATGGAAGAGCGTAGAAGCAGGCGAACCGGAAGTTATCCGTGATTGGACTTTAAAGTGCCAGAAAGTGTATTAGTTATAGTGAGAAAAAATTAGGTGATGGATGACTCACATGTCTATACCCGGTTAGTATCGACTGGGTCACCGTGGAGTCGGGGTATGATATTGAAAAGACCCGAAAACCCTATTGAACAACAAAGCTACAAACATCAGTGATGATGTGTGCCAACAGATATATTTCACGTCCTTGAACGCGTCCGTTACTCACGCTATCTATGAAACTTGTAGGTGAAGGGATCTAAACTAGAAAATGTTATCAACGATTTTAAAACAATAATTTTGTTCCGGTCTTTTTCTCGTCGAAAATACTTTTTTTCTTTCTGAGAATGTTTACTGGCTACTTCGTATATTCCACATCTGCCCGACGTGTACTTAGTTGGTCATGTGGTTCGTGACGTGTACCTCATTTGTTTCGTGCTAATCTCGTCATGTTAAAGAATATGAAAGACTCGTTCATTTGATCACGCTAACCATGACTATTTTAAGTCGAGCCATCCAGACTAAAAAATATTATGAACAATCTTAAAACGCTCAAAAATTATTAGGCTGGTGCAAAAATAATGTCGTTTTTTGACGTTAAGTTGAACGTCAAAAACGACATTATTTTTGCACCAACCTAATAAAATCTTATGTTCGGTATTGCAATAGAAAATACGTTTTCATTTTTTTTTCTTTTGCAGAATTCTTACTGATCACTTTATATATGCCACATCTGCGTGACGTGTACTCAGTTGGTCATGTATTTCGTGATATGTTCCCTACTCCTCAGTCTTCCTTTGATCATGTCATATCAAAGATGCGCCCTTTGAACACGCTAAGATACGATTAGGTAATGCTACATAGCCTATTATGAACAATTTAGGGCAGGAATCGAACCTGTATCCTTATACGGAACCGTCAATTAGCCTGACGTGCCTTAACCGATACGGCCACAAAGGAACGTTCGGTTAGCAAAGTCGATTTTTCTGTCTTTAAACTACAATCTTCCATGATCCTCTCACGTACATTCATATCTGCTCATGGCGTATCCAAATGTATACAAATGACGTCACACAATGTCCGACAATTATTTTTAAGACATTTTTATGTTTATACATTCTTTTTATAGATACAAATATTTAAGTAAATGCTCTGTTTATAATACACAGTATTAGACAACATGTACCGGCCTCAATGTCTGATAAATTTTCATAGAAAATATTCGTCAGTCCGGTATAAATATAGATATAATATTTTAAGATTATTATAACAGAGCGCGTTCACGTGTTACAAAAATCACCATCAAAACTATTACAGTTATATAGTTTTCGCAATTCACCTCTGAGGATGATCTCGGAGGAAATCGAAAGTACTTGGGTTAAAAAAATCTACGGCAACTTCCTTGAATTTCAACTTAACATCAATACGCTAATTAGGAAACTAGAAAGGATTATTACAAAATAAACAGACATGTCTATATTATTCAATGAAACATACATCCTTGAACGAAGATATATATTATATATATATATATATATATATATATATATATATATATATATATATATGCATGAGTAGAAGATTAAATGTAGATCAAGTATGGATAGGAATCCGAGAAATTGATAGAATAAAGAACAAGTAGAAGACATATCTCAAACTAACGTTTCACTTTATTAAAGTTTCGTCAGAATTCAAGAATTTATAATTTTTTATAATTTTTATCTTGAAAAAATTATCAATACTATCTTTTATCAATCAAATTAAATTTTCAAATAAGAAGAATGAAATAAGGGGTCGATGCCGACATATTAACAAATATTCACTTTGTTATTTTAATGATAATAATATGACACAATGAATCAATTAAAATATTAATTAAAACACTGAACTAAAATATTGTAATTTAATTAATAATAAAAATTAAAAAGTATTACAATTTAATTAATAATAAAAATTAAAAAAGTATTACAATTTAATTAATAATAAAAATTAAAAAATTATTACAATTTAATTAATAATAAAAATTAAAAAAATACTACAATTTAATTAATAAAAAATTAAAAAAGTATTACAATTTAATTAATAATAAAAATTAAAAAAGTATTACAATTTAATTAATAATATAATATAAAAACTACTATATAAACCATAAAAAAATAATTTAATTTCGAAGAAAAAATTTACAACTGGATGAAAAAAAATCTATAGCTGAAAAGAATGAAAGACGCAAACAAAAGCAAAATGACTTGAAAGTGCAGGCGTAAAAGAACGTTAAATTCATGAATGCGCATGCGTAGAAAACGGAGTAAAAAAGCGGATTGAAAAAGGCGCGAAACAATTTAAAAAAAAAAAATGTAAAAAAAAAAAATGTAAAAAAAAAAAATGTAAAAAAAAAAAAAATTGCAAATACCATTTAAAACCACAACCCCTGAAGACTGGAAATTTTACCAAGAAACATCGATGTCGAGATGAAATTAATATTTAAAAGTAATCTTTTCATATTATATATATATATATATATATATATATATTGTCAACCTTTTTTCCTTAGATGGGCCAATTTTTGGTAAACATAAAATCTCAGCTGAAAATATGTTCACCGACAGGAAAAAAAAAAAAAAAAAAAAAGAACAAAGAAAATCTCCGACCAGGGCAAAAGATCGTCCATTACAATAAAATTATGATACAAAGAAAAAAAATCAGCGAGTAATCAGTTAAAAAGAAGAGAGCTAAGGTAAAATAAATAAATCCTAATGAGGCAGGTACTACCTAACTAGGTTTCACTACATAAGAGCATATATATATATATATATATATATATATATATAAAGAAAAAAAAGCGGGATGAAAAAGACGCGAAAGAAATGGAAAAAATCGAAAAAAATGGAAATACCGTTTAAAACCAAAACCGCTGAAGACTGAAAATTTTACCAAGAAACTTCGAATTCGGGATAAAATTGGCATTAAAAGTTAAGTAATATTTTCATATAATATATATATATATATATATATATATATATATGATTGCAAATAAGGAACGGCAATATTGGTTTATTTATGAGAAGGCGCAACAGGATAATTTTTAATGTCATGCTCCTGCAGGATATTAGCAATCGTGGCTTTAATCGGCTTCTTCTTTATGATATGTGATTTGTCATATGTTTTTGGCTAAGTTAGTGGAAGGGTTTTCCACTGTCTTCTCCAAAGTTTGGAATTCAGAGCTTTTCTTTTCTCAGACTGGAAGATAGATAACTCAATCTACCATGCTAGTTAACCTATAGTTGGGAAATAGTGGATTCATGCCTTTACCAAATCCGTTGATGCGAACGTGAACGCAATTGATTGGACTAGAATTTA